GGTTTTAGATTTGGACAATGTATATATATACATAGATAGATATAGATATAGATATAGATATAGATCAATATATACAGATATTTGAAGCAAATTTACTAAAGAAGCAACTTTTGCAAACTATACTATATTTTAAAAAATATAGATACTATATTTTAAAAATAGATGGTGACTTTGAATACCGCAAAACCTCCATTTTTTAGTGCTGGAGGTAGTTGTCAGCACTTAATGTCTTTGTGGATTCAGTTGTGGATTTCATAAAGGTTTCCCTTTCTGCAACTGTGACCGTATCTTCTTTTCCATTTCTTGATAATGAATTTCACAGGTTGCAGACCTAAAATTAGGACCATGCAAAGAAGCCCATTTTTATATCAGAGATGCCTTAAGATATGATTGCTAAGGGGCAGAAGACGGGCCAGAAGCTGTTCCTAGCATAAACAGGACTCCACTGGTAAAAAGTGCCTTGGTGATTCTACATGATAGATACAGAAATTACACAGCTGTGGATAAGCAAAATTGGCACATTTATAGGTCATAGTCCACTTTTGTTAGGATAAAAAACCACTTTCAAATAAACTTACTTTTTGTAAATCTAACTGCATCCACCCTGGGATAGACTTAGGAATATCTCAAGAGCTGATATGCTTCAAAAGGAAAACATTCTGTATTTTGACCCTAAAAAAACTTTACAGCTGCTTATAGTTTTATAGTCATGGGAAAACATATTTGAAAAGATCGACCTTTTTTCCCTTTCTTCTCTCTTATCTCTATGTTCATAGGCACTGTGTGCCTAGCCTGGCTGCCTGTCCTTTTCTGCTATACCATCAAACTTCCATTTATTTCCAGTCCTGCCAGTTTCTAGACTTCCAGCTTTTAGCATCTGCCCATTTATCACCATCTTACAGTTCATGTGCAGACCCTTTCCCACAGCTGTTCAAGTTTCTCACCTTAGTTGTTCCCTTTTTCTTCTGCAGGCCTCCACATAACCTAATTTATTTTTTCTTTGTCTATCTGGACCTTGCCTGCCTCTTACATCTCCGGCTTTTACTTCTTGGTGTTCTGCCCAGGTACTCAGAAATTCCTGAGTCCTCTGTATCTGGACAACCCTTTACAAAAAAAAAAAAAAGAAAAAAAAATTGTTGTAGCATTCATGCTTTCTTTTCCTCTAGCCTCTGCCTTTTCCTTACTTTCTGTCTTCTGAAGACTCAGTCCTCTCCACTTCATTTGCCCATTTTTCTCTTTCTGAAGTTGAGGTTTGCAGTGCAGGAAAAAGTCCTCTCCTCTTAACTATTGTGCTAAGCACCAGGGTGCCACTGGTGCCAGTGACAGCAGCTCAGCAGACATCTCAGTTTAAGAAGCAGCACACATCATGCAGTCTAGTTAAAGCAGAGTGCCTTTAAAGAGAGGGGGTTTGTGTGTAAAGTGGTGACCAACACAGACTCTGTTTTCAGTCAAGTATCTATAACATAGTGTATACCAGAGTAAGATGGTAGTGCTGCCTCTCTTCCAGCTATTACATGGTTACCTGAAATCAAATAAAACCCAAAATCCTTGACTTTGTAGGAAAGTGAGTGTGGAGAAAAATTTGAGAGTATGCACCAGCAGGCTTGCGTATCAGTAACAAAAATTTAATATTTTTGAGATGCAATATAAAAAAGTAGTTACACAAGTAGTAGCTTCTAGAGCAGATCTAGATTTTCTAGAGCAGATCATCCTGGGTGTCATTGCATGGCATTTGCAGGACAGCCCCTGTGGAGGGTCTTGTGTCCCTGCAGGGCAGGTCCTGCTTGAACAAGCTGATTTCATCCTGTAATCACCCTATGAAGTGGGTGATCCACTTAACAAATGAAGAAAAGGCTCTGAACATTCATTGTGTGCTTGGACATTAATGAAGCCTTTTTCAACATTTTTCACAGTATTTTCCTGGAGAATCTTGGGTGGATTCACTACTCACTGGGTTAAAATTTGCCTGGATGACTGGGCTCAGAGTGTTGTTGAATAGAGTTACATCCATTTGGTGGCCAGTAACTACAGGTGTTCCCCAGGGATCAGTATTGGGACCATGCTCTTTAATATGTTGATGAAGGATCTGGAGGAGGGGATTGAGCACATTTAATAAGTCTCCAGATGAATTAAGTTGGGTGGGTTGACCTGCTGCAGTGGAGGAAGGACCTGCAGAGGGATCTGGATTGAGTCTGAGAACAACAGTATGAGGTTCAACAAGTATGACAATGATGTGGACAGCAGGACTAGGAAAGTAGTCCAAGTATTTTGCCTGTATTTTGCCCTGATGAAGCTGTGGGCCCCTCACAAGGAGAAGAACATTGAGGGGCTGGAGTGTATCCAGAGAAGGGCAAAAGAGCTGGTGAAGGGTCTGGAACACAAGTCCAGAACTTGAGGAGTGGCTGATGGAGCTGAGGGTGTTTAGCCTGGAGAAAAGGAGTTTCGGGGGAGACCTTATCACTCTCTACAGATCCCTGACAGGAAGGTGCAGCCAGGTGGGTGTCAGCTTCTTCTCCCAGGCAACCAGTGACAGGACAAGGGGTAATGGCCTCAAATTGATCCAGGACAAGTTTAGATTGAATGTCAGTAAAAATTCTCTCACTGAACAGGTTGTCAAGCATTGTAACAAGTTACCAAAACAAGTGTTTGAGTCACCATCCTTGGATGCACTTAAAACATGTGTAGATGTGGAACTTAGGGACATGGTTTAGTGGTAGATTTGGCAATGCTGAATGAATGGTTGGACCCAATGATCTTAAGGATCTTTTCCAACTAGAATGAGTTTATTATTCTAAGTAAAGCATTATTTCATATCTTAAGGTTAGAACTAAGGGTTAGGGATAATGGAGTTTGGTTTAGGGTGTTACAGTTTTGTATTTGGGGTTATTAGGTTTGGTTAAGATTTCCTTGTATTATGTTTTATGCTTTTACTATCACCTACTTAAAAGTTCCAAGTGAGTGTAGAGAAACAGTATAAGACACTTTAGTTGAAAAAACCCAATTACAAAAATAATACAAATGATAATGAACTTACAATTCAAGAAAAAAAAATGGAAAGAGTATGAGAATAAGTAGTATGAGCAGTAGACACAAGAGTAAAGTCAGAAACTGAAAGAGGATTACATTATTAGTAAGGCTTCTGTGTGATCAAAATACTTGTTCTTAGCAATATAACTAGTTCTGTGTATTATTTCTCTAACCTAATGAAGATTTTCTCTATCTATCCTCACTGAATTTATCAGTTATCAAAAAGATATTTGAAACAATTCTATAATAGCCATTTCATGTAGCTTTGCTACGAATTCCAAATGGTTATTAATTAATATTGTGATGATTAATGTTACTTATAAATGTTCAATTAGTCTTTAAAATCAGTTTTCATACTTTGATTAACTTGTGTGGAGATTTTTGTTTGCTAGATTTTTTGGTGTTACAGTTTAAATAATACTAATGATATGTGGATTATTGCATTAACTGTACTTATGTTACACTATGCACATACTAGATTTTTAAAAAACAAATTAACCTGACTAAGGTTTGTGTGGTAACAGAAAGATGTAAGAATTTAAGAAAACTAGGAATTGATCTTATATCCAAAAATAGTTTTTCTTTGCACATAAGTGTTACAGTACCTGAATCAGAGATGATAGACAAGAAGTACATTTTAACAACATTGCATATATACTAAAACCTCTGATTATCTGGCTTAGTGTGATTGTCTCATTTTCTAGATTTCCAACCACTAAGTACAAAGACACAACCTCTGGCTGACGAAGCCCACAAGCCTAAGATTGCTGAAAGAATCCAGGAGATAACACTTTCCCCTTGCCATACTACCTGCCACACCTAGTACTAGACATTTTCAGATAGAATACTGGATTACATGGGTTATTTATATCAATCTTTACAGGCTTTATTTATTGTTGGTTACAGATTTAAAAAGTGCTGCTCTTCCTCCCGGCTAGCTGATGACGGGAACAGGGGGGTGGCAGTTCCCACCTCAAGCTGTGTTGAATCACAAATGCCAGCGTCGGCTCATTATAAAACACAGATTAAAGTCCCAGGGTAACTTTAATTGATGGTAAAACCTCCCCTCTTCTTCATCCTGGGACCAGGAACAAGGGGCAGACAAGAACTTATATGTGGGGGCAGGTCTCAGGGGAGGGTACAATCTTTAACAAATCAGGAGAATTGGGAGTAAAAAAACCAGGCAGGAACCACAAGGTATAAACCAATAAAAATTCCAAGGGAGGAGAACAGTTTCAGTAAACTGATAAAGTTTGGGGAAATAGAAACTAGCAACTAACTGACGAAAAATTTGGGAAAAGGTGGGAACAAAAAAGAAACAGCATAAAGAAAACTACCAAATTACAAATCATTCAATAAACCTACTAATAAAACAAAAAGTACACTGCAACAAAAGAGTATTAAAAATTTCATGTGGTTGCCCTACTATTCCACCATAAGTTAATATTTGAATTCCTGTGTGTGAGTATATTTTGTTTTCAAATGGTTTTCTACACACCGGAAGTGTGGAAAATGACATTTTTTGTTACCATATAATTTATATACTTAGTAATGTATTCTGAGAATTCATTAGGATACATGGATTTAAAATTCTCATTTAAAGTTCGATGGTTGTTTAGGAACTTTAAAATTTAATTAGAACCCTTTCCTGCATTTCATTATGAGGTTATTTCATAATTACTCAGTAAATAGGTCCTACCTATTTACTAATGCAGAAATGACAACACATGGCACTGCTGAATTACAGCTGCACAGCTGGAGAAGATACTTAGATAAACAAAGAACAGATAAATGCATTATTTACAAAACATCAGGGGAAAAGTCAGCATCAAGAATCCTTCCTCAACCTTCATCCATGCTCCCCTTCACTGTTGCAAATAGTGCTATGAAATTCAGCATGGTTGTCTATATTCTAATTAGAACCAGTCCATTATTTACTTATGCAGCTTAGAGGAATGGGGATATTGGTACCTAGAGGAAAGCTATGCTCCTAACCAGTGGAAGGGTGGGTGAAGTACTGCAACAGACCCTGCACTCACTGCATTGAGTCCAGTGAGTGAACAGGATGGTGTACAACTGGGTTCAAAAGATACCAAGACACACCACATTTTGTTTTTCTTTGGGAGTAAAGTCCTAAACATACAATTCCCTTTGCTTGTGTGATACCTGTATTGCATGCCCCTCTGAATTCTGGCAGGAAAAAAGAAGTTAGCACCATGATTCAAGACTGTTCAAAGGTTTATTAAAGGTAATGTTTTATTATGTTAACAGTTGGACTGATGATCTTAAGAGATATTTTCCAACCTAAACAATTCAATGATTTTGTGTTGCCACCTTCCAAAAAGACAAACATATTATTATTACTGTTACCTTATTTTTGCACTCATTCACAAAACTGCAGTATATACTTTAACACTTCTAAGACATTAGAGTTCAGTGAAATACTTATAAGAAAATAATGATCCACTGTACCTTCCTTTCTCTTAAGACAGGAAAATTTCAACAAGAAATACACTGTAGATACTAAGCCCCCTCAATTTAAGCAATTCTTTCCAATTATTTTGTATACCTTCACTGGTAGCTTTAATCAGTATTAATATGTATGATTTTCATTCTTAGCTGCTTCACAGTTGAATTTGGCTTTCTACAATCACATACATACATACAGTTTTCAACAAAAAGCTTTGATTTTCCCTTTTTCCATCCTTCTTTATTATTATTTTCTGCTCTTAATCAAGATATTATTTGGTTCATGAAAGAAAACAAAGGGTACAGTAAGCTTTTTCTCATTTTGTTATTCATAACTCTACCTCTTAGCTTCCTTCCCTTCAGTTCTTGACTTCCCTCTTTGTATATTTTCATCCTATTTATCTCCTGCTGATTCCAAAGGATGCCTGCTGCTATTCTTCAGCAGAACAATGGCTATGGCTCCGCCACACACAAAACACTGGCATATGCATTCTCCATGTCCCTCCCCCTGCTTCTTTCCACCTCTGCAGCATTTCCTCCTTTTTACCTCAGGCAACTAATTCAAGCTAAAATCCAGCCCAACTACAGAGAATTTTTAATCCGGCAGCTAATGGTGATGGTTTTGATTGTTTTTAACGCAGACATAGAAGATGGCATGCAAGATTGGAAACAGGGCCAGGAAGGGTTTAATACCTTCTTTTAGTGACCAGTATGGTCTATACAGATCTAAAGCAAATGCAGAACTAAGCTATGAAGTGATCAAGTCCTTAATCTTTTTTCAATCAGCCAAATTCTACCTAAAATTTTAGGTGCAACACAGGTGTTATTTTATTAACTAGGGTTATTACACAACTTTCTGCAAAACTGACACAAATTATATCAGCTTACACATCTTTATACCAATACCACAATGTCCAACAATTGTCAGTCTGTGTCAGTTGTACCACAAATAATTAATTGCACTAAACTTGTTCCCATAAAACCCAAAGAAATTCACTTCCTGTGCTGAAAAGCATGAGGCTACCCAAAGCATCTGAGAGGTTCACAGGCTTCTTCTGTAGAATATACAAGTTTTTGACATACAAGTTTTTGATTTGAACAACATTCAAAAAACCCATAGAGCAACGTGAAGCTTTTGGCAGATAAGTTCTGCTATGAGAGTGTCCAATAAAAGTTTTGCTTCTGAATGGTCTGTACATACCACTAGAGCAACATAAAGCACACCATATGTGTAAAGCACATTGTTTCCTTGCTTAGGACCACAACTTTAGTTTATTTAAATAGACTTTTCTACAGAAACCAATTAAAATTAAAACCAGTATATAATGCTTGGGCTTTTAAAATGTTGTTTTATTTAAGCTTGTGTTTTTCCCCTCTCAAGTATGGAAACATCTTGCTAAAATACACTTCCTTAAAGATACCCGACTTTCTTTCCAAACACCCTTTCCTTTTTCACTAAAAAATTCTCCTCCTCTAGCAATCCATTATACTCCCAAAATGAAGTCAGAAACAGACACACCATTTACCAATGTCAGAATATACTTCTGTCATGATAAAAATTTGTTTTGCTTACTTCCATCACAAAACATCTTTCTTAAACATTTAAATGCTTGGTATAATACAATATGAAAGTATTTCTTAGGAAGATGTAAAGTTGTAAATTGCACTGAAGACATACTACTGGATTCTTAGATTCAAAACTATTCACGAAATAATGAGTCTTCATAAATAACATAAACTGTGGATTTAAATCAGTTTGTTAAGATTATCAGAAGATTAATATTTTTTCTTAGCACATATTTTCATGTATCTTGAGATGAGAAAAAAAATTCTGTAAAGAAATCTTCCCACTACAAAGAAGCAACAACAGAGGCCTTAATATTTTATTTCTATTTACAAGCTAATGGTTTTGTCAAAGTTCCATCAATACATAGCATATGGTTGAAACATGTCAGATTCTGTGTCACATGGATAAAGTACTACTAAAAAATATGGAAAACATATAAATATGCTGAAAACATATAAAACACATGCTGTGTTTTGTATAATTGTTTCTGTCTTTGCAGAGTGATTAACAATCACTACTCATGTATGGAGAAATAGTACTGAGCTGTCAATATTCACAATTATGCTACCTCTTTATTTTTGTACATGTACCCAGGGCCTCATTTACTAATTATTATAAAAGTCATTATGAAGATATCATTAGATCAAACTAACTCCCAATTCTATTTTTCAAATAATAAAAGAGGAAGAATGGCCACTGAATGAGGAGTTTTAAATGCATTTGGGAAAACAAGTCACCTAACCAGTGTCACTTGATAGAAGAAAACCAGACTTTTAGAGCTTTTTGGTCTCTTGATTAGTCATCAACTATCACAAATATTAGACAGTAGACAAAGTACTTGGCTAGAGATTGAGGATTATTTCACACTGTGCTTTCTTATTTTACATTAAAAGATTATAATTAATATTTTACAACACAGGTATTAGAAAATAAGGTCACAGATAAAACATAATGTTGATTTTAAAAATATTATGAGCATTAGCCTCATGTTCTTTCACGAATAGCCATAGGCCCCATAAGACACCGACTTTTCTCCTATTTTGTCTTTGCCTATGCTATCCAATGTGATCGCATAACACTCAAGAGCTGATGCTTGCCTTTGTATCTGACTACCTCTAAAACAAAAAGTAAAATCTATATGGAAGTGCTCTTCCATACACTAACATTTATTTTAAAGTAATATATTATTTATACAGGCCCTTACTGCACATATGCTTGGCAGAATATTCTTTGCAGGTCAGACAAATTTTTCAGTGTTTGCATTTGTTATGCATTTGTAAATAAAAGGTTTAAGAGAAAAGACATGTTTTCATAAAAAGGTATCTAATGAAAGATAATTTGAATGTTTTAAGTTACAAGTAGATCCTTATTTACACTTTCTACCTAATGGCACTCTCTAGTTTGGAGAAAATGTATGAGGGAATTAACACTAACAGTTGATGCAAGGGAGTAAATTACCTAAGCATATGCTTAGGCAGTCAGCAGCATTAGGGGCTTGTGTATTTCTTTACAATAAATGACAGATTTGTTGTTTAATAGCAATACTTCCCCAGATTTTATACATAGTACACATGTGTTAAATTATGATTGTGCTGTAATTATAAATACAGCAAGAGATTGTCCTAGGAGCAGGAAAGTCAGCTGTGAATATTTAGATTGAAATTACATTTATTTCCTAAATCCTGTTAGTGGAGTACAACATTTCCTCTTAATTATCACAAATCACAATCTTTTCCATCACAGATTCTTTCAACATAGGTATATTTTCACCTTAGCATTTTTATGTTTATTTTAACTTGAAAAAATGCTTTGTGAAGGTTGTTATTCTGTCAATACTTTAAAAGTGAGAAAAGACTTTCATGTTCTGCAGTTAATACTACCATTGCCTCAATTTCAGACTGTGATTATCAACATCAGTAAAATAAAGCCTTGACCCTTTAAGTGGAAATAATAATCTGCTTTTCATAGAATAATCATAGAATTGCCAAGGTTGCAAGAAACCTTTAAGATCATCCAGTCCCATGGGCCAGTATTACCCGTAACCCCTAAATCACTAAACATCACCACCCAGCAACAGATCCAGACTCCTCTTGAGCACCTCCAGCACCTCTCAAAACCTATTTCCTGACCACCCTAACAGTGAAAAAAAAAATTCTTCTAATGGTCCCCTCACTGCTGGCACAGAGGAGGAAACCAGGCCCCGCCTCGTTACAACCTCGTTTCAGGGAGTTGTGGAGAGCAATGAGGTCCCCCCTGAGCCTCCTCTCCTCCAGACTAAACAAACCAGGATCCCTCAGCCATTCCTTATAAGACACGTTTTCTAGTCCTTTCACAAGCCTTGTCGCCTTTCTCTGGACACTTTCCAGCACCTCAAAGTTATTTTTTAAGTGAGGGCCCCAGAACTGAACACAGGATTCAAGGTGTGGCCTCACCAGTGCCAAGTGCCAGGGGACAATCACTGCCCTGGCCCTGCAGGCTCCACTATTCTTGATACAGGCCAGGATGCCATAGAGCTCCTTGGCCACCTGGGCATGTGCTGGCTTATATTGAGCTGGCTTCAACCAGCACTCCCAAGTCTCCTTCTGCTGAACAGCTCTCCAGCCACTCCTCCCCCAGCCTAGAGCACTGCATGAAGTTGTTGTGACTCAAGTGCAGAACCCAGCACTTTGCCTTATTGAGCCTCATGCAGCTGTCCTTAGCCCATTGACTGAGTCTCTCCAGTCTCTCTGTAGAGCTATTTTTTTCCCCCTAAAGAAAAGACTATTCTCATCCTAGAAAAAATTCCAACCTACCACGTATGCAAACAAAAAGTTGTTTAACATGTTAATTTAGCTGGTCATACCAGCTAAATTTACTTTATTGGATATCTCTGAAGTTTATACAAGGAATTAAGCTAAAAAATCTAAGTCAGTGCGCAGGGAGATGCTCATTTAGCTACTAAGAAGCCTTAAGTATGGAATGTCTCCCAGCTCCAATCTCCACCTACTACAAAGGTGCTAAATGGGGCTGAAGATTAGTCACTCTCTCTCAGTCAATTGGATTGGAATTCCTACTACTTTTTGAATACCCACAGAATTGAGGCAAATTTTCTTTATCACAATGACTCTGTGACAGCTCCCCTGGTACATAGGGAAATACCCTTATTCTGAAAGGCCTCTAATCTGTTACTCCTTCTATGAGTATCTCAGTTCACCCAACTCAGCTATCTTTCTGGATTATCAATTCAGATGGCATTTGTGAAGCCTGCATTTTGCCCTTTTTTATATTAACTGAACTTTGCCGAAATTAATTTTAGTTTTGTCCATGAAAAGAATGTAAAAGGTGTTTTGATATTCATTTGCCACAAAGCAGTAAGCTATATATTACCATGGCTTTTTAAATAGTATCATCTAGCCAAAAATATTCTTCCAGGATCTGCAGTGCCACTACAGTAAAACTATTTTAAAGCTTGCATTAATTGTGACTTGTATTACAATATGAAATCTGTCATACAGCCTAAATAACTTACAGCTTACAGAGTAACACAGATACTGGAAGATGCAGATGATCCATGAGCAGATGACAAGAAGCCTACTAGCTTTCCCAAGCCTAACAATATCTGTAGAAAGGTATTACAATTTACTGCAAGTAATGGGACAGGGAATGTGGTGATGCTAACCAGAAGATGTTGAGGGCTGAGTGACCCACATCATGTCATGGCTAACCTGAGCAGGCAAGGTCTGTGCTCTGCACAGCCAGTGTGGCCTTCAGGCTGTATTGGGCTGTACAAATCTCTTGGTGGTGGGATAAGCTCAAGCAGCACAGCGTTGAAGGAGCCAGCAGGCAGCTGTTTGTCTTGGCAAAACTCTTGTACCAAAGCTTATGCCACCTGCATGGCCTCGCCTTTATCTGAAAGTGTTAGTTCTAATAACTAGTTTTTGGGATATTGGGACACAAGACAGATGATGGACTTTGGACCTGGTTAACATAAGAGATTTGATAACAGGATGCCTTGGCAAGAGCAGACAGAATTTTGAAAATTAAATCAAGATTGCAAGATCAAATCGGATAGATTTACCAAAAAAAAAGTAATTACATCAGACTTCTGCAAGCAAGAGATGTTTAAAATGCATAAGTTTGTTTATGTGATTTTTACCCCAATCATTGTAATAAAACATTACTAGTCTTCCTAAAATACTATATAAGCAGATATAAATAATATAAATTCAGATTCTTTGACCACCTCAGTCTTCCCTGTCTGTCCTCATCGCCAATAACTAGTGTTTTAAATGGTATTTTAGAGTGTCTTTCTTATTGAAATCATATGTATCAGCACCTCCTTGTAGCAACAGACTACTTTACCCTGCAAACACATACAACTCCCCATGAGACCAGAGAGAGCACTGGCTGTGTGCCATAAGAACATACATGATGACACTGGAAAGGTTACAGCAGTACCTGATGAGTGGTAAAAGTCAAGTTCCACACCCATGTTCCAGGAGGAGGATCCATCTTGATTCCAGGAGGGAATTACCAACTTGACAGTCTGACCTCAGTCTCAGCAGTTAGAGCAAATCCCCTCTGAATCCATAGCAAGGCACATGAAGGTGATGGTAGTTTGAAACAGCCAGCACAATGTCAAGCCTGCAATGTCAAGTCATGTCTGCCGAACCTAATTTCCTCTAGAAAGAGGTGTCTGATTGTGTAGATAAGGGGAAAGTGCTAGAGAAGCTTCCACATACGGAAGGGAGGGGCGAGAAAAGAAAAGAAAGCAATGAGAGATAGAGAACCAGTATGGCACAGGTTGGACATGTGGACTTGTGGAAATATAAGTTCAACAAAGACAAATTCAAATTACTTCATCCTTGCAGAAATAACTCCATGCAACATTATGGTTTGGGAAACAGCTGGTTAAGGAGCTTTAGAGTAAGAGCCGTGTGCACTTGTGTGCAGCTTAACAGAACTCAGCCGTGTGACCTGGTGATATTTTTGCCCAATGTCTGGGAGGAATGATGAGGAGGACCTCCATGGATATCAGAAGGCTAATTAATTACTTTATTATACTACATTATTCTACACTATATTACATTACATCTAAACTGAATCTGCCAAGCACTCAACTGCACAACATCTCGTGACTGTCAGCCAACAGTCCTGACACACAGACACTCTTGGACCTGATAGGCCAAGGAAACAAAACACCATCACTTTGGGTAAATAATCTCCATATTGCATTCTACTTTGGCACAAACACAGGTGCAGCAAATGTGATAAGAATTGTTTTTCCTTTTTCTGAGGTTCAGAGAATGTGAATCTCAGAAATATTCTTGGGAAGTCGTGCCTTGCTTTTCTCTGTGAAGAGAAATGTAGTTACACCTTGTGGTGGCAATGACCATCAGAGCTAGCAAGCAGACCCCAGACAGCAAGCTGCCTTCTGCTGTCAGCACTTGTGAGGCTGCATGTGCAGTGTTGTGTCCTATTCAGCATTCCCCAGCACAAGAACACTGCTGACAGTGAAGCAGGTGACCAGCAGACGCTGCCAAGGTGGTCAGGGAGATGGAGCACTTGCCATTTCCTGGAAAGGATGAGAGAGACAGGTTTTTTAGCCTTAGGAAAAGAATCAGAAGCTGGACAAATTCTAACAGCCACACATTGCAATTTCACCCTGTTAGAAAACCCAGTACAATAAAGAAAGAAGTCCTTAAGTAAAAAAGTGACAGACTGTACAAAAGTCTATCATACATATACATTTAGATGAGCAGTTGATTTGTAAGAAACTTACAAACTCTTCTGTGGAATTCACCAGTTGCAATGTCAGTTTACCTTTATCTTCTCATTTGCTGTTATTACTACTGGTATTCTGCTCCTTCTAGGAGCATAACACCAGAGAACTGGATCTGAAATGAGAGGTTCTACTTACATTTTAACATCCTTTCTGCCTTTGCCTCTCAGATAAATACATTTAATTTTCCTTGCCATCAGATAATTCAGAAACATCTTTCCTCGCTATAGCATTAAAGTTATTACCTTTTTATTCAAAACAGGAATGTCTGACATTATTACAGCAAGACATTAAGGAACAAGTCTTTATATTTAGAAACAAACATTATGTTTACAGCTCTATCTAATCATGTTCCATTACCATGAAAATTTCTGCTTTTGATATGACCCGAAATACATAATTCTTCTACTGTGAACTTGCATTACTGATCAGTCCAGAACATCTTTTAGGAAACCCTTTAACATGCTTCACTCTTCCTTTGAAATTACATTATCTCAACTAGCTATTGCTTCCTGAGAGCACTGCCTGCATTCAACAACAAGGAGGTTGCTGGGTTATAATGACATGCATATTTGTGGCCAAACTAATATGCAGTAGGATTAGACTAGTTTATAAGCTGCTTTTTCCAGCCTACTCTATTTGAAAACCTGCCATATTTCTTGGACTAGCCATGGCCTTGTTCTACAGTTGGAGTGAATACCTTGAAAAGAACTAGGGCACAGCAAAGTTTTGGAGAGCCTTCTGTTTTCTACTAGCTTGCCTTAGTGACAGAGCTTTTAAAGGATATTCTCATGCAGGTACCTGGTACTGCCATAGAACATTCACTGGTTTCATTTTCTTGAATAACTGTAAGGCAAGAACTGACTTTCATTGTTAACAGGGTAACATCCATGTCCCTGCATGAGAATGTTGTAGGTTTCATATATTGACACTGAATTAATTGGAAGTTTTCACTGTGACCTGTGACTGTTTTGTTTGTTTTTTTTTTTTAACTAAAAAAGGAGCTTATTTTCACCATTAAAAGGAAAACTTTCTTGAAGAACATGGACCTTGAAACTGCAGTCAGATACACTGCAAGTGCAGAAGTCTGCTTAGCACCTGAAACAAAGATAAGAAGAATAAGAAGTTAGTTGGTCACATACTGTAGGCAAGAGATGACAGAAAGTGCAGAGGCTGCCTTCTGCCAGAAGGCTACATGTAACTTGTGAGAGCAGCTGCTACAGAACAATGGGGGAGAAGAAAATGTCAGACAAGTTACATTGCGTTTCAGGTGGGAAGGTAGGGGAGGGAGGAGGAGAACAGAAGGTACATGCAATTACTGTAGCAGAGATGGCTAAATATTAACGCAAATGCAAAAAAAGAGGGGCAGGTGTGACTTCATCATCTACACCAAACACAACACTTAATTTGATTTTGCAGTTTGAATAACAGGACTCTTGCTTTGCACAAGCAGAATAAAATCTGTGGATTATTTGTGCCATTTGAAGTCTGAAGACTCCTATCCTCTTACATGTTAAAGCAAAAACTTCACAGGAAGCTTCCTAACTCATTATAGGAGAAATATTTCCATAAAATAGCACTGAAGGATTACAGTTAGCTCTATTAACTTCTACAAGGTTTACATTAAATGAAACTTGGTCAGTTTCCTACTAACAAGCAATTTTTTTTCTGAAACTGTAACTCAAGATCCAGTAATGTAGCTCCAGACAGGCAAAAGCCTTTTGCTTTTAGAGTTTTAAACAATGTACTGTTCCCAAAAATCCTTAGAAAATAAACCCAGAGGTGGCTCACAAGGTTATAATTTCCTTAGGTTCTCTTCAGAGTGGGAGGGACAAGGAAAGAAAGGGACACAGGGATTTTTGTGTTATAAAAATAAAGCCTAAACCCCCTTATACCTCAAGCATAAAAACCCCCAAGATGTCCCACACTCCACCTTCCTCCATATTTACCTTACTTGCAAATTACCTCTAGTTTCCCTTGCAGTCTTCAAGCATGGTTCTCAGTTTGGCTATACTTACTGAGACAATCTGTCACAGCAAATCTCAATGGCCTAACAGACATTGTTCAGAGAAAGAAAAGGCTTTGAAAAAAGATAATGACAGGTCAATTGAAAAAAAAAAGCCCTCTCCCAGCCACCAATTTTACATTCTTTGCAAACACTACCAACACTGGGCAGACTTCTCCTGTCACTGGTTCCCCTATTCCTGCCATAATATTAATTCTTCAGAATCTACAGGCAAACAACCCAACTCAAACCAATCAACTAAAGGAAAAAACAAACAAAAAACCCAAAACAAAACAAACCAAAAAACAAGTGAAGGGGAAAGGATGGGAAGAAGCAAAAAGAACAAAAAACTTAATCAAATAATTTCTTATATTCCATACACTCAACAAAATATTTATTTTTCTTTCAAACTGACTAAGCAGCATACACCAGAATTTAAATGAAAACTTTAATTTATTATTTTAGAAGTAGAAATTTTTAAAAAATCAATCAAAATTAAGACCAGGAATAAGTACACTATACAACATGTGTGCAGTAAAAATATTTGACTACTCTGTGAAATAGTTAGTCAAGTAACCATAAGAATTAATGAATGAGTTGCCTCTGGTTTCAAAACTACTAGCAATGATTAACACTAATATGACCAAAAAAAATAGAATACCCATACATTATGATAATTTTATGCTAATAAACACTTTAAAACACTTGGCTTTCTTTTAAGTTATTTGTAAAAAATATAGAGGGTTTTTAAATCTCCTTTTTGTATAAGATTGGATTTTTTTTTCCTCACACCTGAATATTTAGAACACAATCTTTCATTTCTCTATACTTTAGGTTCTTGCACAGTGAATATAGATTTGAGTCTTCAGATTGGCATAGACAGAAGGGACTGTATTTGATTTAAATTTATTCAACTGATTTTCTGCAAGAAAAAACTGAGGGTCTCCTGCGCCTTTCTTTTAAAGATCGAGTAAGTACCTGAAAAAGTAAAATAACAAAATGGTTTGTTCATTGTTATACATTTCCTGACAAATTCAGTTACTGAGGATTACCAGTTTAGAACATGAAGGATTTTCCAGAATGAAAAAGTCAAGACACAAATATTTGAAATCTTATTCCAATACTGTCACCGTAAGAAACAATCTGCCCAGTTTTGCTCCAACGAGTCATCTCCTTGTCTCAATTTTACATTATAATTCCCGATAAAAGACACATCACTTAACTTGAAGTTTAACTTTCAGGAGCTCTTCAAGGGAAATCTGACTTAAACGTTTCCTAATCTCTAGTCTGCAAGTTTGCACGTATTATTTATTCAAACGTTTCTTCAATTGTTCTAGATGCCTAGCATCAGCATCCTGGAGAATTAATACAGTAGCTTTAGACTGAAATGGATTAAACTCAATAGTCATCAAACAACAAAGATCTATCAGCTGTTTTTGACATTTGTCTAAACCATCCTTAAGTTTTAGACGTAAAGCAGGATCCTTTTTCAGCTTATTAATTTCAGGCACTGAAAAGCCAATGAAACTTGTTAGAATATCATCAGCAAAATCTACTTCAAGATAAGCAGAGCCATCAGAAATTTTAGCCTTTATACCCCAGGATCCACTGCTTTTTGTCAAGTTTCCAGTGAGAGTGACAATAAAACATTTAACTTTCAGAATTGTAACAGTTTCTGGTTTTTTTGCAAGGAGAAGGGAAATATATGTGAAAGGTGGAGATTCTAAATCTAAATGTGCCTCTACTGCCGTGCAAGGAAAGATCTGTGAATCACGTCTTTGCTGATCTCCTTCTGGATCCACTTTTAAGGAAAATACAGGATCATCATTTAATACCCTGCAGTCAGAACTGTCTTGATGTTTACATCTGCTCTCATTTAGGTCTGTATAATTCTGCCCCTCTTCAGAAGGAGTTTCCAAAGAGAAAGCTGATGAACTGCAGGTCTGATGTAAGCTCTTGTGCGACAAGAAGTTACTAATGCTATTTCGATCTTCATCAAATATTGTTCTTCTCATGCTCTTTTCCTTGCTGATAGCTTCCCCGGGCTTATCTCTTTCATTCACATTGTCTTCTTCACCAGTGCCATTTAAAGATGAATTGCAGGAGCTTCTAGATATATGTGGAAGTCTGCCAGTAAATAAATCTATGTTTCTGTTCATCTCCACTGGTGGCACTTCTTCCATCTCTCTTTGCATCTCTTCTTCCAGAAGCAAGTCATCTTCTAAAGGAAAGTCATTTAAAAAGCCATCAGTGTATTCTATGGGAGGTGAAACTTGTTCATCTGAGTGAGGCAAAGGACTTCCAGACTTTTGTAGCAAAACATTTCCACTGTGTGCAGTCAGTGAACCTGAGGCTGTGTTAAAATTGTTGCTTCTACTACAGTATCCACTTTCTAAGGATGTTCTGTTATTCAAAGTAAATTCATTATTTTCATCGAGGCTGGCTAAAAGCTCTTCATCTGAAGGGCCAAGAGTTTGTTCTAACTCATCCACAGGCCTTGAAAAAATCTGTCCTTGTCCAGCTTGTCCAACAGAATTAGGGTTTTCAGCTTCTCCAATTAACCTAGCAAGGACTCTTTCCTGACAATAATCCTCAAGAAGAGCATCAACTTCACCCCCCAACAGTTTCACATTTTCTGGTTTAAGCAGAAGAACTCCAAGACGATATGCAATATTGCCCTGTACAGTGATTTTTGTTCCAGGAGGAAGATTACTGCTGAGAACAGGCACTGGTTGATACTCCATGCCCTGAATTTGATGTATGCCATCTGTTAACTGTAGCATCAGCATTCGAGTAGGCTTTGCTTCCCAGGGCTTCTGAAATGTCTGAGTACTGGCTGTCACTTCTTCATTTACAGTGCTTTTCCCTCTTAGCTTCTGCAACTGAGAATATGCTGGCTGGCTAACATCCACCAGTGAATCAATCTGAATGGAGAAGCAGCCTGATAACTCTCCCTTGGGAGTATCTAAGATGCAGTTAGGCAAAATGGGATACTCCAAGTCTCTCAGATCGGTAAGAAGCCATTGCTCAAATACCTGCTTGTTAATCTGAGCTTGACTTAAATTACTACCACTATTTTCTTCCTGGATCCAATTAATACATGCTTCCAGCCATGTTAAAGGAACTTTAACATGCCATGTGGATGAAAGCCATGTTTCCACTCTTGCTACAATGCTAGATGTAGACATTTTCTTTTATGGTAAGAGACTGAATTTCCTAAAATGGAATTCAAAAAGACATATTTAATCTTCTGACAAAAACTGAAATTATTTCAAGTTTCATGCTTATATTGTATAAAAAATTTAAATTAAAAGCACTTCTACAGACAATGAAATTCACAGGCATTTCCAACATTTAACATTTCAATCAGCATAAAAGGTTTATCAGCATAGAAGTTATGTACAAAATATAAGAAAAGTATGGAGATTTATACAAGCAACCACACTTCCTTTCTGTTGATTAAATTAGAAACATATAATTGAAACCCTTTTCTTATAGATTGAAAGTGAATGGACAAAACCACCCAGACCATAAGAGCAGAAGGTTTTAAAATATATTTCCTCTTTTTTCATGGTTTTCCTTCTGTTAACACAGTTTACTTTAGAAATTGACCTGAGATGTTTACCCTCCCACTTCATCAGCACTGTTATGAACAGACCCAAGCTGAGGTCTATCAACATCTGTACCAGAGGAGTAACTTTCAGTCAGTGACTGAAAGCTTTGTACCCGACAACAGAAAGCGAGCTTTGAAACATGGTCATCTAGAGACCCTGAGCAGGACTTGGCTGCAACAGTACCAAGTCTTGGCAGCTATCATTTCAAGGACATCACTAGCTAATTAACTTCCTGGTAGTTTAGGAAGTAGTTCTGCACAAACGGAGTATTTCAGTTGGAAGGGACTCTCAATGATCATTTAGTCCAATCACCTGACAAATTCAGGGCTGACCTAAAGAAAAAGCATGTTACTAAGGATATCATCCAGATGCATCTTAAAAACTAACAGGTTTAGGGCCTCAGCCACCTCTACAGGAAGCCTGTTTCAGTGTTTGATCATGCTCTTAGAACTAGAATCAGATTGGAAAAGACTTTCAAGATCATTAAGTTCAACCTCTCACTGAACACCACCACCATTCCAACTAGATCACAGCAGCAAGTGCCATGTTCAATCACTTAAACAATTTCAGGCATGGTGACTCCATTGTCTCCCTGGGCAGCCTGTTCATTGCTTAAAAACCCTTTCTGTGAAAAATTCCGGATGTCCAACCTGAACTTCCCTTAGTACACCTTGAGGTCTGTTTCAGAGACTGACCACCACCTTACAACAATTTCCTTTCAAGTAGGTGTGGAGAGCAATAACATCTCCCCTGAGCCTCCTTTTCTCCACTCCTGGTCCCTCAATGACTCCTAACACCACTTACTCTCTAGGCCTTTCACCAGCTTTATTGTCCTTGGTAAAGAAATTATTCCTATTGTCAACACTGAACCTTCCCAAATACAGCTTTGAACCATTCTCATACCTCCTGTTGTTGGATGCCAGGAACACACCAGCACTCCTCCAGGTCTGCTCCCCAGGGAGCTGTGTCCAGTCTATTTCAGACCCCTCTGCAAGGCTCTTCTCCATCGAGAAAGTTAGCAGCACCTCCCAATCTGGTATCCCTAGCACACCTGCTAATGGTGCAGTCAACTCCTGCATCCCTGCCGCCACTACAAACATTGAAAAGATACCAGGTTCCTAACGGTGCCTGGATCATGTTCAATCACTTGGAAAGGGAGACCGAGTAGCTCAATCTCTCTACAGAACACAACGAAAACAAAACCTACACTAAGAATATTTAAGAAACACCAGGTGTGGGTTCTGCTGTTTTTACTGGGGTATTCTTGGCATTATGGTCTTAGGAGTGAACACAAGAACACCCTGCCTCCAGCTCTCTCGCCAAAAGATCGGAAGATACCGCCTAGTTAACCCAAGTAAAGCGCCAGCTTTCCGCAGAGGAGGTGAAAGGGGTGAGGAAGGGAAGCAGAAGCGGGGGGAGGAGGAAGATCCGAATGGGGACAGGCCCCTCTCGGAGGGGCCGAGAGCTCCAACTCACCGGGGCGAGCGGGCGGTGGCGGCGGCGGCCGCGGCTCCCGCCGGCCTGAGGGACGGGGCAGCGCCCGAGCCCGCGCTCCGCAAAACCGCCGCGAGCGCCCACCAGCCAATGGCAGGCGCGTGTCCAATCATCGCGAGAGTCTCGCCACAGCCGGCGCCGGGCCGCATGCACAAGGCGGGGTTTTAGCGGCCGCCATTTTCTCGCCTCCCGGCCGCAGACGCTCCCGCTTTTCTGGGCAACCCCCTCGCTGCCCGCGCCGCTCCCAGCGCGGCTCCCGCAGCCCAGGTAGGGAAGGAAGGCAGGCCGGCCGGCGCAAGGGTCTAGCGGCGCCACCCTTTCCCCGGGCGCGTTTCGTCCTTTCCCTCACGGAGGGCGGTGCGGGTCGCGGCGCCGCCTCCTGCGCTGACGGGCAGCGGCCTCACCCAACGAGGCGGCGGCGGCGCCGCGCGGGGGGCGGCGGCGGGGCCAATCGCGGGTGGCGCTGGTGGATGTGCGCGTCGGAGTCCGGGGCTGCTCCCCTTTCTCTCCCGTACGCGGCGGGGCCGGTGGCGGGCGCAGGTACGCGCAGCCCGCGGCGCCGTGCGGCCGGGGCCGGCGAGGAGGGGAGGGGGGCGGGAGAAGGGCACAGGCCGGTTCAGGCCTTGCCTGGGCTGCTAGAGCCGCCGATGTACTCGGTGAGGCGGCGTGACACAGCGGTGCGAGACGGCCTGTGTCTCCTGTCGTGGGGCCTCAGCCGCCGAGGGCTGCCTGGCCCCAGGGCTCCCGTGGGGTCGGCGGCAGAATGAGGAAAACGCTGCGTGGAGGACACCGGTGTGTCTCCGCCTCGGCTATTGCTGAGCGCCCTCAGACGGCCTCTGTCCCCGTTGCCCAGCGGAGACGGCGCGGGTTTCGCAGCGCCAGGGGTGCACTCCAAGGGCGGGGGCGCGGCGTCCGCGGCCGCCTTCCCGCGCCCGTCCGCGGTGACTGTGCCCAGGGCGAGCCGCTGTTGAGGGTTATGGCGGGCGCAGCGAGGGCGCTCCGGGCCGCGGCCTGCGCGGAAGCAGCCGCAGAGGCCGCTCGGGGGGCGGAGGCTCCGCGTCGCGGCCGCGCCGCTTTAGGGCGAGGGCGGAGTGGCCCTGGCGCTGGGGCTGACCCTGCTCCGCCCGCTGCGCCGGGCTTTGAGCCGCCGGGCACCTCCTTTGTGTCCGCCCGGGCCGAGCCGGGTAACGCTCCCCGCGGCCGCGTGGTGGTGGCGGCGGCCCTTCCGCTCCCGGCTCCGCCTCGCAGCGGGCCGGCGGTCGCCATTTCGCAGGGCGCCATTTCCGTTGCTCCGCGGGGGTGCCGCCGTGCTCGCCCCGGTCCTCGCCGCGCTGGGCGGGCGGCTGGAGATGCAGGGGAGATGGGGGGAAGAGAGGGGCAGGCGAGAAGTGCCGCTGCGCCTTGGAGGCGCTCTGATGTTCATCAGCTCTTAGGTCTGTGCTCGCTGGTTCCGCCTCTCGTGGCCGCTAATTTAGCCTTTCGGTGATCATAAGGAACCTGACTTTATTAGTTATGTTAATGTCTCCTGGATTTACCTAGCTGAGCGAGATTACTGAGAACACATGGGAAAGTGACGATGAGAGACTAAGCAGTGAATTGTAACTGTAACTGATAACAGTTTGCTCCCCTCTGCCTTAAAATTCTTGGGCTGGTTGGAAATTAACCAGTGTCTGAAAGTGCAGTTACACTTTGTCTGTGTCTTCCTTACTACCCGTCCACATAGCAGCGCAATTTTGGCAATGTCTGCCTGAGACCCCGCTATTACTGAACTTGTGCATGCCCATTAGCCCGCTTCAAGTACCTAGAAATGCCGGCATGTGTTTGGAAGACAAAGCCTGCTTTTAAAGCCCCTGCAAGCAGGGCAGCAATTACATAGCTGTCTGAGAGTACGTTTAGTAAGTTAGAATCAGCTTCTTCCCCACCCCCATTCCTCCTCCCCCGATTGTGGTACAACAATGAATGCCTGCTGTTTGTTGAGGCAATGGAAGTTAATAGAATGCAAGGGGAAATATATGATTGTTTGGCTGTATCTGTAAATCACATTTTTAATGATAGTAAGTTGGAGAAATGTTGTTTTTTTTAAATATATGCTTCTCGCTAATGTGACGTAGTAGCTAAAAACAGGTCACAGTCTGTTTCAGAAAACTGTACTGAAGTACAGGTGCTTTTGGAGGTTTTGGGTGTGTGTGCATGCAGTGGGTTGTATGTAAGTGCAGAGGGTGATATTTTTAAAAATACGTTATTTTAATGTTATTTTAGTGTTGGAAGTTGTAGTTTTTATTTTATTCATCACTTACAGTTGACAGGAACACATGCTCAAATGCATGCTAGTAGAGAATTGTAGAACAAAGTCTGATGATTACCAAAACAGGACTTTTTATTGAACATAAATAGTGTTGACCTAAATAGCAGGACCACATTTTGGTGTAGTGCCCTTTAGAAAGTGAAACCAAGGCAAATAAAATGTTGAGATTATGTGGTTACTTAAAAGTTGAGTGTGCCCAAAAAGTGTAATTCAGGCATTAAGACTTTATGTAAGTCTGCAAGTTTTGCCTTTATCTGCTCTTAGTTGTGTGTTTGGCTTGGCTATGCTTTTTCTTTTATAAGAAAAAAAATTGCAGCAATAGTTTAGGTCAGCTCTTTGGTTTCTGACTGTAGCAGAATCGTGATCACAACTCACAACTGATATATGCTGTTTTCATAGGCTCTTGAAGCAATAGGCTGTTGGATTTTGATCCCGCCCAGAGTACTTGAGTTTTTGTCAGCAAGGATATATAATAGCGGTAAGTTCTAGCAGCAGGCATTTATTTTTGTTATTTTTTTCCACTTTAGCATGAGGTACAATTTGTCTTTTGACAAAAAAATGTACTGTCTTTATTTCTCAACAGGTTTTGCTTGCCTACGTAAGAAAAAAAGGCAATGGAGACTGAACAACAGGAGGAGACCTTTACCAACACAGAGACAAATGGTAAATTTTTTAAAGGACTATTCATTTTTAGATAGACCCTCTTAAAAATTTTAGTATTTCAAAGAATTTTATAATTATTTACCTTTTCCATATATGCATTAGCAGTAATTTTATGTTCTGCATTAAATATCTTCTATTTTAATTAATGTATCATTACACATGCTTTTGAAGCATAAATACATAATCGTCCTGTTGATATGTTTTAGACATGAGAACTGAAAGTTATGACTAAATACTGAAAAATGTTTCATATCTATATGGAGAATGTGCATATGTAGGAATGCTGTAGGGCGTATCTGTTAATTGCATTTTGTTCATTGTAACTGTTACATGCAGGAGTATGAATATATGAAATACTGCTAAAGAGCTTAGTGGAAAATTTCTTGGGAATTACCAGGGGAGTTTGGACATTATTGTTGTTGATTTGTGCCAGTTTTTCCCAGATTATCTGACATTCTACTTTGCTATTGTTTCACCAATATTTAAGTGTTGGACAAACTACATTTGAGCTATATGCCTGAAAGGTTTTCCCCAGTTGAAATTATAAATAAATACTAAGTGGATGATGTTGCATTCCTTTGGACATGTCTAATATGTTGTGAATTTCTTACTGACTGTGTGCAACATTCTCATTTAAGCCATAGTTCATAGATTTTTAAATGCATTTTCAGTTGTTAATCAGTAAGAAAGCTGTTGATGTGAAGACTAGTTTCTGTGCTTTGGATGCTCAGAATAGACGTCTGCAATTGGTTTTGTGTTAATAGGAAAGAATGTATTAAAAGTACAGAGCGTAAATTTGGCGCGTGTTCCTCTTCATTATGACTTAGAAAGTTAAATAAATGTTTATGTTTTCCCCCTATGGACCTCTCTACAGGCAAACGTCCTGCAGAAGATATGGAGGAAGAGCAGGCCTTCAAAAGATCTCGGAACACTGATGAGATGGTTGAACTGCGCATCTTGCTTCAGAGCAAAGTATGCTTTTTTACTGGTTTTGTGTGTAGCATTGTTCAGCATGGTGGTGACAAAGTGCATGTTGAGATATGTGTAGAGAGATTATGTGCTTTTTTTGAAATTAGGTAATTTATTAGATTAATTTTCAGGAATGGTAGGTAGTTCTAGGTGTATTGCAATGGAATTGTCTTCTGAGTTCTCTTAAAAGGGTAAGTCCCTAAGGGTCAATACAGGGTTTATTAAAAATACATACTTGCTAAGAAGTAGAGCAGTAAAGAGTCTAAGATATTTTTACGTTTGAGTGGAAGGTAGCTATTTCAAGCGGAATGAATGTATATGAGTCTTTGAAAAAGAAGGTGTTTAGAGGATTATAAATAAGTGATTTTAGATTGAATATGTGAGATGAGAACTTAAGATTTTAGTAATTCTCCCAACTATATCAACAGGAAGAAGTGTGGGAGTAGTTTTTCAGGGATTGAGTGATTTTGTTGACAAGTGTAAATAGTTAAAAGTTGCTGTGTATGAATTTCCTCTGGTGTTTCCAGTTGCTACACATGATTTATACCTTCTGAAGTATCTCAGTTTTTTGTGTTGATCTCAAAGAATGTTGCCTGAACTCTGTGATATTTCTGACCAATACCCAAGTTACATGGAGTACCATTAAATATTTTGCATGCTGTTAGCATAATGCATGTGTATAGTAAAAGCAATACTTTTCATAGACTCCTTAAAAGAACCTGGTAAAAATGCGGTTTTCCAATTACTGTTTTTTACTATTTGTCAGTTTATTCCTGTTAATGTTGGTGGCTTTTATTAAGTTGGTGGCTGTTTGCATTCATTTTAGCCTTTTTCAGTTTATATTGCTCTGAGAAATTACTGATGTGCAAAACAATATTAGCACTCTGTTTGGAGCTTAAAAGTGGAATTTGCAAACACATTCCATAAGGGGAAAAAAAAAGCTGATCAGGTAATTGAGGAAATAATTGACCTACATTACACTCATTTAGTTTGGGTTTTTTAAATAAATCTAGCCCACGAGAAGTTCAGCATGGGCAGAATTGCCTGAAACTTCTCTTTGGAATTGAAATATTAATGGCAAAGTTGAGTTACCTTTCTCTGTGTGCTGTGTTCCGTGGTTATAAGAGCATTTGGTAATTTTTTTTTTATGCCAAAGTGGTGCTTCCCCCCAACTCCTGGGCCAGCAAAAATAGCTCTACTGTTTTTAGTCTTGAGTTCAAAACTTGGCCTGTGCTGATTTGTCTTAATCTAACTTCTGAAAACTATTTTCCAGAATGCTGGAGCAGTGATTGGAAAAGGTGGCAAAAATATTAAAGCACTTCGTACAGACGTGAGTATATATGAGTTTGAACTAATTTAACACTGCTTCTTTCAGAGCGCTACATCGAAAACTTGATTGCGTGCGTTTCTAGGAATGGGAGCAATTCAACTCTATAGACATCCAAGTTACAAACCATTTGTATTGATTGTCAGAGTAGATAACAGTTCTTCAATTTCTGTTTGAACTAAAACCCAGCTTGATGCATGGGAGGAGAGGTTTATATTCAATCCCTTCACTTTTTAATAGGATTCTGCTAAATTACACACTTGAAGTGAGTTACCATCCTAATTAAAAATATCGACAAAACTTAAACCTCTTAATAGTACCGTTCCCCATATGTGTGCGTCAGTTATAGTACTGCTGAAACCCTTGCAGGTGGCTGGCTTAACCCAGTGATAGAGAAATTCTTCAATTTCCTTCAAAAAAGCAAAATTAAATCATCCATCTCTTCCTTAACAGCTTGCACGTGAAGCACAAAACCATTAATATTAAGGTTTCTTGCTTTAAATATGAGTATAAAACACTAAAGGAACATTGTATTCTATTACTTGGAAGTATTTTTAAATGGTCTTGACTTAATGCCTGTTCACATTTTACAGGGGGTTGACTCTGGTGATTAGACACATGCTCAGCGTTAATGTTGTTTATTTATAAAACTTGGCAACACTTCTTAAATTCCATTTGTTTACACTCCTGTACTTAACATCAGCTACAATTTCAACGGTTTTTCCAATCAAGACTGTTCAGCGCAAGATTTGGCAGTCTATCATTACAAATCAGTTCCAACTAAGTTCATAAACTACCACAACTAGAGTTGAGATTTTAGTTGAAATGGTCAGGAATCATACATATGCCCACTAACTTTGGCAGCTAGTTGTTCCTCTTTTTTTTAGGGTTTTTTTTAATCTGGGGGTTTTTTTTTGTTTTTTTGGTTTTTTTTTTGGTTTTGTTTTTGGTTTTTTTTTTGAGTAAATCAGTATGTCACCTATGTCCAGATAATTTAGATTTGTCTGGAACACAAACTGTCCCAATTTGCCCAAGGTTCTAGTACTAACAGTCTCGACAGTTTTTGCGTCTGCCCTCATGAGCCAGCCTGCTACTGAAACATCATTTATTAAAAGCAAATCGTAGTTTAGTCAGATCAAGTGACTCATTTTTAAAGTCCATACTGTTAGGCCACAGTTGGTGTAGCAGTCCGTTATTGTGTTAGTCTTCAGAACAACTTAAGCTTGTTTCATTAATTGAGAGTAATGAGTATAGTTTGTATTAAATTAAAATTTATTGCTTTTCCCCCTTTTCCCTCTCCTTGTTTTTTTGGCCATATATCTCCGTTGCCCATGTACTGGATCGACTTGCCCCTGCGTTGCCCACCATGACGTTGGCCCATCCGCCCCTGAACGCCCATGTGAAAACCCTGGTTGGCTATGCCCAAAAATGTGCTCGTTGCCAAACGGGTACCATACTTGACAACTTCCGATTGAATACCCATGCCCAATGCCAACATCCACGAACGCCAATGACCAATGCAGTACAATGCCAGTGTTTCAGTCCCAGACAGCAGTGGCCCCGAGCGGTATGTCCCAACAGTTTATGCCTCACTGCCTGAATAGAAAGAGAGAAATGTATTTTATTACCTGCCTTTGATATAATTAAATAGTATCCCCTTATAGACGGTGTATTGTTTTTTTTCAAGTTTTCTGTCTTATTTTCCCCATTAAGTCTTTTTGTCACTGAACTTTTACGTGAGTTGCCCACCCAAACAATCCACTAATTTTATTTCAACGGAAGGAGCACAGCTTCAAGTGTTGCATATTTGCTGCATTGTAAATCAGATTGGTTCAAAATAGTCTCTCGCTCTGTCTTTGTGGCCCACCTTGCTCCCCTCAACATTGCCTGTTCATAATTATTTCTGATGAAGTGCTAATTCCGGTTCGCTTTCCTTCACTTCTCATTTGTTTTGTCTTTTTTTTGTCTTGCATTTGTATTTGTTTTCTTGGAGGGCCCATTAGTAATCTGAGTTCCATAACCTTATTCCAGCTACAACGTTCACCACTTGTATATCCTCACTTTTAATATGAGAAGGTGTGCCAGTTCTACAAATGTAATAGCGAGGGTATCCTAATTAGTGGTGGCGGGGAACATGAGTATTCACTTCTACTTTTCAGTTCTGCGTCAGTTTCTTGCCCACTTAATTTGAGCCCTTCCAAAAGCCCATTCTGTCTTTCTCTCTCTGCAAGACCTACCTAATCTTAAATTTCTCATGCGTATATACTGGGCATAAACAAAGATGCATGTGTTGTAAATTGAGCAAACAGGTTTACTTTAAATGGGGAATACTTGTAAACACTTCTTTGTAGTAAATCTTGTTAAAATTTTGTGCGTGATGATGAAAAGAATTTACTTCTGCTTTTTCTTTTCTACCTTCTCCATATTGTCTGTCATCATGACTTCCAACAGCATCTTGAGTATAAGTGCAGATATAGAGACAATTGGAGAAATCTTGAAGAAGATTATCCCTACTTTAGAAGAGGTATTTATCTTGAAATTTTCTTCTGTTTAGAATGAAAATACTAGCTTTCGAATGAGATTGTTCTAGATTGTTCTGTGTTTTTAAACACTGGAAATTAGAAAAGTGAAAACTGCCAAAAGCCTTTTAAAAGAAGGATTATGGCTGTCATGTTGGCGTTTTTTGGGTAGAGGGCAAAATCTGTAATTGTTTATTACATTTTGAACAGCCTTCCTGTTTCCCAGAAAATAAGTGTTTCATTGTTTGATGCTTTCTTAAATTTTTATAGCAAGCAGTGCAGTGCAATTTAATAAATAGTGTAAAAAATAGGGAAAGCTGATACTTCACGTTGAGGTGAGGTGTTCAGATTGTTGTGGTTGTATCGAAAGAAATACGCGACTGAATTCAGCAATAAATTAAATTGCCCCATTCTGTTTAAAAAAGAAGCTTAAAACCCCAAATATTTTGAACATCTGTGATTAATCTTTATTGCTTCTCCCTATATGCATCTTATTTGCAGTATCAACACTACAAAGGCAGTGACTTCGACTGTGAGCTTCGACTTCTTATTCACCAGAGTTTGGCAGGAGGCATTATTGGTGTCAAGGGTGCTAAAATTAAAGAACTCAGAGAGGTACTTGCTTTCTGTTCTTCCGGGAATTCATTTTGTTAAATAAGCAGTGTTTTCTGTTCATAAGGGGCACATCTAAGTATCTGCTCTGCGTAATTCTTTCTCAATATGTTGCATACATGCTTTTGACGTTTTGGGACAGAGCTGGAAGTTTCAGCTTTCTTGCAGACCCTCAGAAGTTATGTCAGTGGCAGAGCCAGGACTTAGTTAAACATATTTTTGGTAGAGTACTGTTTTTAAAGAAAGTATTTTTACTTTATTTTATTAAAATTGTATTCATTTCTCCTTTTAGAACAAACTGCTGCATAGTGTAGAATTACTTGTGTGGTTGAACACACAAAACAGTTGAGAATGAAAGCATCTCCACAGTAGATTTACTGTGGAAAGACTTCATGTTTGGTTATATATTTTTAATTCTAAGTCTTGGAAGACTTTTTTTTTTTTTCAGTGGAAGAGTAGGATTCTAAAAAAAAAAAAAAAAAAATTAATGGTCCCTATGAACTAAAAACACATAGTTGAGTTTCTTGGCATTGTGTCAGGCAGTTTCAGGTCAGTTCAGGTATAAGCCAGTACTTGTTGGTATGGATTAAGAAAGGCCAGATAACTAGACATAATCCTAGCAACATCGCTGTCTTAGCATCCAAAGCATGTTTAATTTGAAAGCTAATACAACCTATAAGCTCGCAGTGGTTATGTGGTCCTTTTTCTAATACTTTGTTAAATGATGTTTCATAGCTACATTTTAATTAAAGTAGGAGAAATTGATTTTTTTTCATCTTCCTACAAAACTTAGAGCAGCAAGATCTTAAAAATATGTAATCTTCGAACTTTGTGTGATAACTGAAAAGCAAGCATGCAGATTTAAGTGGGTGGAACTTAATTGTCTTTTGAATCTATTTTTAAAATATTTTAATGGTTTTATATGGCTTTAAAAATATATTTGATAATCTTGGATTTTTTTTTTCTTCTGCAGAACACTCAGACCACAATTAAGCTCTTTCAAGAGTGTTGTCCTCATTCGACTGACAGGGTGGTGCTTATTGGTGGAAAACCTGATAGAGTTGTTGAGTGCATCAAGATTATCTTGGATCTTATCTCTGAGGTAATGTTTATTAAATTTATTCTTTCATTGGCATTCATGGATGTTTTATACATTAATTGGATGAAAAATGGTCTCTCTCAGTTTCTAGTTTAAATTTAGTACCTCCTACTTTCGCAGCAGCAAATGATGGACAGTTACAAACCTTGGGAACTGTTTCTAGTGCTTAGAATTGGGGTACACCTTATGAGCAATTTTTGGTAGTAGTGTGCCGTTTATACTTTGCATGTCATCAGAATGAAAAATTCGAAGAGGAAGGAAAACGAAATGTATCTGCCACATCTAAGTAGTTTTACTGTCGTAGTTAAGTTCACAGGAAGCACATCAACATCTCATTTCTTGGCAGCATTATGAAATCAAAAACATGTTCCAAATGCATAAATGTGTTAGTTTAATAATTAAATACACCAGTTGTAATGGAACTGTCTGATTTGAGGAATTGTTTTGTTTGTTTGTATTAGTCTCCAATTAAAGGACGGGCCCAGCCTTATGATCCCAATTTCTATGATGAAACGTATGACTATGGTGGCTTCACAATGATGTTTGATGATAGAAGGGGACGGCCAGTGGGCTTTCCAATGCGTGGAAGAGGAGGTTTTGATCGAATGCCTCCTGGTCGTGGTGGACGACCTATGCCTCCCTCAAGAAGAGATTATGATGATATGAGCCCTCGCAGAGGACCTCCACCACCTCCACCAGGTCGTGGTGTTAGAGGTGGTAGCAGAGCACGTAATCTTCCTCTTCCTCCTCCACCACCTCCTCGTGGCGGGTGAGTTGTTGGATAATTGCATTATACAAAAGCTCATGTTGAGTATCTGAGTCATATTTTCAGTGATCTTTCCGTGCTTCCATGTTGGTAGTGATTATGCAGGATTGAGCCTGTATTAGACAAAGAGTATTTTTTGAAATTTACTGAAATTTAATTACCTGCTTGATGTAGTAAGTTGCCAGGACTATAATCAGTAGTTCTGGAAGTTCTCTTATTCAGTACTGGGGTAGAACAGTTTGATACTAAGTTATATGTGAACCCTGAATGGGAAAATTCAGATAAACAAGCTAGCTGATAACACACATAACACAATTAACATGCTGCTGTCTTTTTTGTTTTAGAGATCTGATGTCCTATGACCGAAGGGGCAGACCGGGAGACCGTTACGATGGCATGGTATGAGTTGAAAATTTGCTCTGTTGTGTCCCTAAGCACAGTTAGCGTGCTGACCTCCTGTTGCTGAACTACTTGCGCTTTCGTGTGGGATATACACAGTTCTGGTAGTAAAACCAAAATGTTACGTCCATACAAGTGGTCCTCCTATGGATTTGAGGTGTAAATGGTACTCTTACGTTTTCTTTCTTTCTCCCTGTCATCAGAAAGATTCAGTGATTTTGATTGTGCTCAGCTCTGTAGGTTTTCTTACACTGGCCATCTTTTAGATTTTTTAAATGAGCATGACAGAAATAGCAATTGGGAGATTTTTCACATAGAGAAAGCATGTCAGAACAATGTTCTCTGGCGAGTTAAAGAGCAGAGCATTCTTAACACCAAAGCTTGGCAAACATGCTCATTGATACCGTAACTCAGATTATAGAGGAGCATCTGAGAAGAGCTCTAATTGATGGAATGTGATGGGTCTTTTGAATCAATTCTATATTTGTTAGTTTCTCTGCAGAAAATCCACTCAATTCCAAGTGTTTTGGAGGTGCAACCACTGCTTAGTTGAATCCTACATCAATTCTTTCTGGGGGGAGAAAGAAATCTCATAATATATGTAAGCTTAAAACAAAGGATACAGGTAGTCTTCTGTGTTGCATTCTTAACTGCCAGGCCCCAGCAGCCCCCTGCTGTTCCGAGACAAGATTTCCTCTTTCCTCAGTAGGAAATCCAGGAGGTTCTCCTGGTTTCAGCTGGTATAGTTACTTTCTTCTCAGTAGCTGATCCAGTGCTGTGTTTTGAATTCGGTATGAGAATACTGTTGATAACGTGCTGATGTTTTTTGTTTTCCTATGTAGTATTTTATACCAAGTCAAGCGCTTGCTCAGTGTCTCATGCCCTGAGAATGAGTAGGTACACCAAAGAAGTTGGGAACTGTTATAATCAGTACAAGTGACCCAAACTGGCCAAAGAGATACTCCACACCATAGAACATCATACCCAGTGTATAAACTGGGGCAGTTACCCAGACAGGGGGTTCATAAGGGTTTGAGGATGGGGCCTGGCAGTGGTCAGCAGAGTGATGAGCAGTTGTATCATGTACCCTCGATTTTATTCTTGTTTTTTTTTTATTGTTTTGGGGCATGGTGGTGGTGGTTGTTTAAATTTTTGTTAGTTTTCCTTGTTTTTTAACTTCTCAATTACTAAACTGTTCTTATCTCAAGCTGTACGTTTTGCTTTTGAGTCTCATCCCAGTTCCACTGGGGGTTGGGTGGGGGCGTGTGAGCAGGCAGCTCTGTAGTGCTTAGTTGCCAGCTGCTCTTAAACCACAACTATATAGAGGTGGATCTCTATAGTAGCAATATTCTTTTCTCCTCTGGCTTTGTTTGGCACCTTCTTTAAGATGACAGGTGACACATTATTTTATTCTTCCAAATTAATGTAGAAGATAGAAATGAAAAAGAGCTAAGAAATGGGCTAGCTAAATGGACTTCACATGAACTCCTTGGGAATAAGAGTTAGTGGAACTCCAAATTGCAAGAATGCCATATGCTTATTAGAAATAATAAAAGATTTGCAGTTACAAATATTTGCAGTCACAAAAAAACCTGTTTCCCATGGTACTTTACGTGCTAAGAAACTGGAAGAATGGAGAAGTACACCTCCAAAATTTCTTACCTCTATTTATATGTTTTCAGAGCTTAGGTTTTGTGTTCTTCTGTTTGCAGCAAGCCTGTGCTAGAGTACATAAACTAAGCAGCCTGTCCTTCTTTGGGTATTCAGTTGAGCACAGTCTTAGTTAGCTTGACTCTTGGGCAGTAGTGTGTTCTATTTTTGTTCTATTTTTATTCCAGTTCAGCCAGAATAGAAAATCCATTTTATCTTAGGCTTAGCCTGTCAGGTTGACCTTCACTTTATTGTCATGATTCTACATACAAGTGAAGTAATTTCTGCTAGTTTGGTTTCTTTCATGGAGAAAAAAAAAGCAAGTTCATTTCTTTTTCATAATGAAGCTGCTCATAACTTTGGCTCCTTTGTGATCAAGTGTTACAGCTGGTTAAAGTGAGGACTATTTTCCAACAAAAATAGTATTTAATTTCTAGTTTTAGTTAATTACGATCCTAGTATTCTAAATTATGTAAGCAGCAAGGAAATTTTCACAGAATGTGACTACACAACTTCAAGTATTATGCCAAAAGCTAAAGTCCTCCTGTGCTACAGGTATCAAATAGAAACTGTTGTGTAGCTAAAAGTTTAAACAAACTTATTATTACAAACTATGTTACTGTGGTTTGTAATGGAAAAAGCTGCTCTTAGAGAGTAGAAATGCTCTTTTCACGTCAATTCTGTCCTACGTAGGTGTAATAAAAGGCAGCAATTGATGAACATCTCAAAAATACTGGAAAAATTTAATGTACAAAGCGAAATTTTTTTGCCAGTTCTCTTTTTCGCTAAAGGCAGAAAGATTGAACAGTTGACAGTCTTTAAGACTGGATGCTGAACTGTGATTTTTCCTGTATTCCAGAGACATGACAGTATTGACAGCCTTGTAAATGCTGAGTGGAGAAAAACCCACTTTGATTTTAAAAGAAGGGTAAATTCCTCTTGGCCATACAGAGTTAATCACTTGAGATGATACTTGTATGTTAGCCTGGCTTAAAGCTGTAGTATGAATATGTACTGCTGTTTATATGCTCATGTGACTTACAGTTTGTTCTGAAGCTTTTTCTCCAAAGTACAGACTTGTTTATCGCCGTATAGAAGTGTAACTACTACAGTGTGTAACTACCTCCAGATCAGATCCTGTAAGGGCTATGGTGATCTGAAAAATCCTGAGTTTTCTGTATTTTTTAACACCCTCATTCTCAAGGACATGTTAAAATTAGTAAAGGAAGAATGTATGACAACTCTTCTATTTATTCGTGCAGATGCTGGAAGGAAGTAACAAAATTTCAGTTTCCTAGGTCACTCTTAAAAACCAGAAAAACTACTAAAGAATTTGACATCAGTTAGGACTGCATGCAGGGTGTTCTATTATATGTAAAAGTTAAGCTCTTTGCCTTATCCAGCCCATCTGTCATATGATTTCTGTTCGAGTTCTGAGTAGTGACTAGCACAAATTAGTCTGCAATGTAAAATGTTATGTATGCTAAGACACCCTCTTTCAGAAACTCATTTAGCACAAATAAACATCACTTGCTGAAACTGTAAAATTCTGAAAGAAATAAATGCCATATATCATATGTATTAGAAACATTATTAAGTTTCTAATTTAGGTAGGTAGTGGTAGATTGTTAGTCTACTTACTGGCTAGATAAGGTACATGGATAGTAGAACATAAGCAGTGTCCTTCCTGCTTAACCTGCAGTTGGCATAATCACTTGCAGTTACTTGTTTCAATCTTAGTAAACCTTTTTCTAGTAGATGGCACAAATAAAACATAGATAAAGTATTTTTACATGTAAAAATGTAAAAAGGTTTTCTGAAAGAAAAAAGAAGGCTTAAGTTTTGCCTTGCCATTAGTTTTTGGGCTTCTTAGTGAGAGGAAGACTCTGCTACTAACATAGAAAGAGAAGGAAAACAGGAGTTTCCCATTTGGAGTTGCCCCAAAGTAAAACTAAAAGCCAGTGAGTCTTGAAAGTGGTCTAAATCACATAATTTCAAGTCTTCGTTAATAGTGTGAGGGTTTCTTCATACCGCTATGCATTCTGTTTGGTTGCAACATTATCTAAAAGTCTGTATGACCTGGATTTCCTTTCTTCCTCTTATGTTGCTTCTGGAAGATGATGCAGTGTCATGTGGATGCCTGTGATGACATGCAGCCACCAGAGTTGGTGAGTGTTTTTAGCCTGTTCTTTGAAAACTGCTTTATTGAATGAGTTAAGTGATAAAGCAAATCTAAGAGATCTTGAGTGTAGTCCATGGCAATTTGTGCCTATTAAAATTCATACAGCCATTCTTCTGACTTGGAATTTAGAGGCAGACTTAATGATGTGTCCTTTGAAGGCAGGTAATGTTAATAGAAATGTGTAATTATGCAGCAGATTGGTAAAAATAGAGGAGCTTTTCTTACCTCTTTTGCCTCCTTTACAGTGTATTTTCATTTTGGTAAATGGTAACTTTCTCCATAACTGATGCACTGTAGATGCAGCAATTTACGATTTATGTTTTGTTTTACTTCCATAATGTGGGATTTTATTTTGGGCAGCAAATACTTAAAGTAGCTTCTCACTTTTATTTGTGAATGAGCTTATGTTTACCTATCAGCCTATTTGAAAATGTATCATATGGTCAGATAGGTTTTGGGATGTTATCACAGAATTATAGAATGATTTTGGTTTGAAGTAACCTTAAAGATCATCTAATTCCAACCTGCCATGGGTAGAGAACCTTGAACTAGACTGGGATGCTCAGGGTTCCATTGCACCTGGCTTTGAACACTTGCAATAACTGGGTGTCCACAGCTTTTCTGGGCAACCTGTTCCAGTGCCTCACCACCGTCACAGTGAAGAATTTCTTTCCAGTACTTAAACTAAACCAAAGCTCTTTCAATTTAAAATTGTTGCCCCTTGTCCTTCTATGTGCCTGTGTGAAAACTCCTCTCCAGCCTTGCTGTAGGCTGCTTTCTGGAGCTGGAAGGCCACAATAAGGTCACCCTGGAGCCTTCTCCACTCCAAAGTGAACAATCCCAGCTCTCAGGCTCTCTTACAGAAGAGGTGCTGCATCCCTCTGATAATCTTTGTGGTCCTCCTCCAATCTAAATCCATCAAGTCCATGCCCTTAATGTTGGGGGCCCCAGAGCTGGATGCGGTACTCATGTTGGGATCTCAAGGCTTGACCTTTCAGTGCAGCCCAGAGCACGGTTGCCACTCTGGGCTGCAAGTTCACAACTGGGTCATGTCCCACTTTCACCCACCAGCACCCCCAACTTCTTCTGGGCAGGGCTGCTCTCCATCTGTTCATCCCCTAGCCTGTGTTGGTACTGGGGATTGCACCAGCTCAGGTGCAGCACCTTGCTCATGGTCCTGTTAAATTGAATGAGATTCCTATGGGCTTGCTTTTTGAGCTTGTCCAGGTTCCTCTGGATGGCATCCAGTCCTTGAGGTCTGTCAACAGCACCACTCAGTTTGCATCCTTGTTGCAGGAGTGTGTCACAAACCTGATGTGTTTGTGTCATTGATGAAAACATTGAATAGCACTGGTCCCAGTGGAGGCCAATCCCTGAGGGACACCACTTTTAATGTCTGTTGAAACTCTGAGCCATTGACACTGCCCCCTGGATGTAACTATCCCTATTCAATAAAGTCTATCCGTGGAATCCATCCTTCTCCAATGTGGAGGGAAGGACATGGGGACTATGTCAAAGCCTTTACAGAAGTCCAGGTACATGGTACCTGTAGCCTTTCTCTTGTTTACTGATGTAGTCACTCCATTGTAGAAATTACAGAGTACATCAGGTATTAGCAATGTCTTGGAAGATGGCAAAATGCTGCCAAATTAATACTATTGATTAATTCATGTTAAAAGTCAGTTCTTGGCTTATATACACAACTACTGCTATCAGTTCTGTTGTTTTGTCGTGTGGAGAGGCAGATGTGATCAAGGAAAGGTATTTTCTTTAAAAGAAGTTAGTCCAGAAAGGTATCCTATGGCAAATACCAGCAGCAGTATGTGTGTGTATGCAGTATGCTATGTGATCAGCTTCTCAATTTAACCTTAAGCAGAGTCCTTCGTTGTCTTGTATTTTGTACTCCACTGTGAGCTCTGTTATGTTTTATAATTGTATTGCTTAGTAACATGATTAGGCAATACACGTTGCTTAGAGACAGAGGATAAGCTCAGCACTTCAATTTGAATAGCTTTCATTTTGATGCAAAGAGAAAGATGTTAAGGAATATTTTTTGGGAAAGTTGTTACATTATAACTTCTATTGGCCCATACTTGTGAGTGGGTGAACTTGACTGACTACCAGGAGCCTACCAAGCTGCTCTCAAGCCCCTACCTTAGTAGAAAGTGAGGGGAGAAAGTAAGACAGAAAAGTTGGTGGCTCATGATGGAGATGGGCAGATCACTTAGTAATTAACATCATAGGCAAAACAGAGTTGGCTTGAGTAGGTTTACTGCCACTTTGACTAGCGTGGTGAGAAACACAAAAACACCTTTACCCATCTTCCACTTCTTCATAGACTCAGCTTTCACTCCTTCATTCCTTACTCCACTATTTCTCTTTCATGAATGGTGCAGGGGTGACAGGGAATGGTAGGTTCCTACTCAGTTCATCACACCTGTCACTGCTCCTTCCTCTCTGTATTGTTCCCCTGCTCCAGAGTAGGGTCCCTTCCATGGAATGATACAGCTGGAGCTGCTCAAATGATCTGTTTCCAGTGGACTGCAGTTCTTAGGGAACTGTTCCAGTGTGGGTCCCCTTTGTGTGGTACAGTCCTTCAGGAGCAGAGTAATTTGGTGTTGGTCCTCTCACAGGGCACAGGTATCTGCCTGTGCAGCTTCCTTCTGGGCATTCCTACCTGCTGTCAGCATAGCATCCCTCAGTGGGCTGCGCTGTAGTGATCTGCTCCAGTGTGGTTCTCTCCATGGGCTGCAGGGCAGTCTCCACTCCAGTTCCTGGAGCACTTGTTTCATCCTTGCTCACCCTTGCAGTCAGTGCACAGTGGCATTTTTTTACTTGTTTCTTAAATATTATCACTGAGATGTCATCAGCTTGGCTGACAGTTTCAGCTTTAGGTAGCCTCCAGCCTCCTCTCTCAGACTGCAGGAGTTTCTTCAGAAGTTGAATTTGAGAGAACCACATATATTTATTCTCTGCTTCTGTAGCAAAGTGTAAATACACAGTTTTGCACACTTAGAACACATTAGATGAAATGAGAACTTGATGTCAAATACAAGTTTACAAATCCTCAGAATAATAGGGCCAGGAGTGCTCATTGCAGTAATTTATATTTGGTATATGGTGGTTCAAATGTAACAGAAATCAATCATGTAGTTACTGTTTTTTTCTAAGATGTAAAGGGTTTGTAGCATAGTCAGAATCAAAGGTGTAGATGTAGTAGTACAATTTGCTCTGGAACTGGAGATTGGAGTTTATTTTGAGTTGTGTTAATGGTAGTATTAATAAGGCTCTACTCTGATTTTGTAATTCTAATGTTTAGTACTGAGGTCACAAGTAGATCAGCATAAACAGCTGTCTGCAAGAAGCTGAGATGGTGAGACTGCCTTGGTAAACTGGCATGGCTGAATTCTTTGTCATTTTATGTGTTGTTCTTAGAGGTTTTGATAGGGCAGGATAAGAAACACAATATCTGGAGTTGGACAGAACCTACAAGAATCATCGCGTCCAACTTGTGGTCCTGCACAAGATGGCCTCTGGTCCAGATGGACAGAGGTTAATCAGATTTCTCCCACCCATCCCTTTTGTTTCTGGTCTTCCATCTGTGCCTCGGGATGCTCTTGATGCCATAATACTTGTATTTATATCAGATTGAGGGTTGTGATGTTCAATTAAATGGACTCAAAGTTAGCAATATAATGCTTAAGATAAAAATGTATTAATGAAACATGGCTGTTCACGTTAATGTTTTTTTTTTCTCTTGCAGTTTGAGGGAGGCTCTGGTTATGGTAAGTGTTCATATAGAACCTTTGCATGTAGTTCATTATGTAGTTACTAAAGGGCTTGATGCATACACTTAAATCAGATTATTCTTATGCAGGGGGGCGTGGTTCATATGGAGATCTTGGTGGACCCATCATCACAACACAAGTAACGATTCCCAAAGATGTAAGTAAAGTTGATTTGCTTTCAGCTCAGGCTTTCTCGTAAAAAAAAGTCACAGCCATTTCTCAGACTGTGTAAGTAAATCAGAAATATTTAAAATGCTTAAGTACTTCTAGTACAAAACATGTGTTTCTAAATTGCCAGCTTGACTGTTTGGTTCTGTCTTCAGAGACACATTAAAGAATTCTACTTGTGGTTAATACTCAGTAGATATGGTCCTTGTAACCCATATTTTGCAAATGAGAGCTGGTTCTCCCAGTTTTATCTCACCTATATTTATACAGTTCATACTGCTGGGGATATTTTTAGGCTATAAAGAAATAAGCTCCCATTGCAACACTTAAAACTGTCTTTGTGGAAGCTACTCAAATGCTGCTGTAATTTTCTAACATTTTGGAAAGGCACTTGTATAAGGAAATGAATGTTTTTGCTTTCTTCACTAGTTGGCAGGATCTATTATTGGAAAGGGAGGCCAGAGAATCAAACAAATACGTCATGAGTCAGGAGCTTCGATCAAAATTGATGAACCACTAGAAGGCTCAGAAGATCGGATAATCACTATTACGGGAACACAGGACCAGATACAAAATGCACAGTATTTGCTGCAGAACAGGCAAGTAAAACTTTAATGTCCCTACTGTCAAATTAACATGCATATTATGAAACAGCTCTCCTCTGTGAATCAATTTTTTAAGAAGGCAGGTTTTAAGTAACTATTTGAACCTAACTTCTCTAGTGGTAGTTCTGCCTTGATTCTCTTCTGCTCTCCATTCTAATTAAAATGAAGACACCCTCAAAACTAATCTTGCTGGAAGACATCTTAACCAAGCAGTCCTCTCATTTCTCTGGTGAAAACTGCTGCAAAAAAACTACTTGTAATAAATTACATAGAGCCTGTAGAAAATATAGAAGATTTCAGTGGATGTTGGCCTAGTTCTGTGTGGAAGACTAGTGATTTTGTTGTTTTTAGATAACTAAATTGACAACAAATCACAGTCTGCCATATGGCACAGACCATGCCTCTACAGGACAAGTTGAAATCGATTTGGGGCTGTTATGCAGCATTTCACACCTTGCTGACAGTACTTTGCCTTTTCTGCCAAATATTAACAGCTACAGATAATATTTGCTGTATTAACATTATGGCTGCTATAGCAGTTTTAATATCTTAACTGGAATGTTTGGCTTTAGATTACTAATACTTAACTATGCCTGAAATACACTAATATAATGGTTAGCCATTGACATTTTAAAATTGTGTATTTTTAAATGTATTAGTAATTTGTAATTTAATATGCTTTATGAATGTTGATGCAAGATGTATGGTCCATCATTCTAATACATGCTTTTTTCTTTTTCTTTTATAGTGTGAAGCAGTATGCAGATGTTGAAGGATTCTAATGCAAGATTATTTTTTCTTTTTTATAGTGTGAAGCAGTATTCTGGAAAGTTTTTCTAAGACTAGTGAAGAACTGAAGGAGTCCTGCACCCTTTTTTTTTTTATCTGCTTCTGTTTAAAAAGCCAACATTCCTCTGCTTCATAGGTGTTCTGCATTTGAGGTGTAGTGGAATCTTTGCTGTACACCAGATGTAATGTTTTAGTTCCTTACAAATACATGGCGGGGGGAAGGGCATACAAGACTAACATTGAAATTTTGAAGCGGCAGAGAGAATGAATTCTATTTTTGTTCATTGTTGGTGGTAAATTGTACTGTTTTTCTGTAATTGTTGTGAACATCCTGCTTTATGTACACTGTATCTTTATTTGAAGGGGGAGAATATGGTAGGCCCCATGTCCCTGGCATTTGTTGAGAGCAGTGTGCAGAATGTAATGCATTTTTGTAAGAAACATTTTAGGATTTTTAAATAAATTTAGTGAACCTATTCTTGGTGGTCATTTTTCTTCAGCTCTTCATAAGGTCATAACTAAAATGGATATACCTAGTTTGTTTTTTTTTTCCCCTTACGAATTAAAGTTGCTGTTAAGCTTGCTCTTCAGTTTCCTTGATATATAGGTGGAGTTCTGTGGGGTTTTTTTGACAAATTAAAGAGATCGTGTAAAAACAATGACTGCTTTGCTGTTTGGGGAAAGGGGGAAGGTGAAAATACGCAAATGTGTAAAACTACATGCAAGTGTTTGGCCCTCTTTGCAATACATATATATATTGGTGACAGTATATAAATAAAATACTTTAAAATTTTGTGACGTCACTGATTAAACAGTTGTAAAGTACACCTGGGTTTAGACAGCTTGCTTAATGCAGTTGCTCTGCCATTACTGAATAAATTATACCTGTTTTCTGAGCTTTTGTTTGTATGAGATAGGAATTGCGAATTGGCAAGATGAAATACAACTATGTAATTTGTTTTCCATTGTATGCAAAACTTCAACTTGTTTCCCAGATGTATGTTGAGTTCCGTAAGAATTATTTGTGAGAAATTAAAAAAATATAACGCCTCTGGATATCTCATGTAATACTTTGGCATTTGTATTTATAGTTTAAAGTTTTAATTTCACTTCCTGAATAAAAACAGATTAAAAAGTGTAAAGGTGTGTGGCACATAGAGTTATGATGGGTCCAGACTAAGTTAAGTTTCTTTTATTGTTTTTGGTTGGTTGTTGTGTCCCCTCACCCTCCCCCAGTTTGTGGCACGTGAACATGTTTTTTTTTTTAACGCAGCTACTCTTTAAAATGGCAGGGTAAATGCGAGCCTGAAACCGTATGCATAAGGCTGGCTCCCTTGGCCAGAGCGATAGTGAATTCTGTTGAGAGAAATGCCAGCACTCTTTAGTCAGTAAGAAGTCAGCTGGCTTGGTACACAGCTTGGTGCCTAAATTCTAGACAAGTCTGCAATCGAGGCTAAGATTTTGGGCAAAATGCAAATTAACTAAAACAGGCTCAATTGCTCTGTGTGCTTCTAGCTTGTGTATGCAAAAGGAGGTTTGGGCCGTCTTCTGGTTCTTTTCTGTTTGGATCGGGGAAAAGAGCTCAGCAACTCAACACGCACATTTTTGTTCCTTCCTCTGTCAAGTTTTTTGTTTTGTTTTTATTCCTCTCTTTTTCAATGATGGGGAATCTTCTGGAAAACTTTCCTACCATGAAGCTGAGTCTGCCCACTGCTGTAGCCTAGCGGGATTTGAGGGGGCGACTCTCACCATGAAGGTGCCGCCCAAGCGCTCCCGGGCCCGGGCTCCGCGCTCGCCCCCGCCCCGAGCGCCGCCC